TCCTGCCTCAGCCTCCTGAGTAACTGGGACTATAGGCATGTGCCACCACACACAGCTAATTTTTGTATTTTTAGTAGAAATGGGGTTTCACCATGTTGGCCAGGATGGTCTCGATCTCTTGACCTCATGATCCTCCCGCCTCAGCCTCCCAAAGTGCTGGGATTACAGGCATGAGCCACTGCACACAGGCTACTTTATTTTGTTTAACTCATCCTTAGCTTTACTTTCTTTTTCTGCCCAGCCATCAGCACATCCTTCATCTTCAAGCACAGACTTCTTTTCAGTTGTAATATTCTCAAAATTAGCCTACAATATTTTTTTCCTTGATAGAAACAAGAAGGCAAAGTGGTATTTGTTGTAATGTGGACTGTGGTCTTCCTGCATCAGAGCATTCTGATGAGTTTGTTAAAAATAGACTTTTGACCCCACTTCAAAACAGAATCAGAGGCCATGGAATGGAGTTTGAGAAACTTTTTAACAAGGTTCCCAGCTGATTGTGTTAATGCTCTGGATGGAGAAGCACTGCTATTGACTATGCAAAGAGGACAGTTAGTAAGATGAAATAAATTTTATGTAAATGAAAAGAAAGCAGCTGCCAAGAGGACAAAATATTATCCCTTTCATTATGCTCATTTCAGTGGTCTCTCAGCCTTATAAGCCTCATGTATCAGTGTTCCATACAACCCAGCAAGAATAAGAAATACCAAGAAATAAGTCACCTTTGCAATAATGATCCAATTGGCTCCAGATTCCCTGGTCTGTACAGAAAATGATGCCCTTTCCCACTAACAGGTAGCCGGGGTCACAAATGTAGCTGATTGTCATCCCAGGAAGATATAGAGATACGTGTCCTCCAATGTAATGCCCGTTCTGGATCTTGGGTGGATGTGGGCAGGCTAAGAACAAGTTCCCACACAAACACAAGAAAAGACACTCAGTTAAACATAGGCATATGAACACATGAACATATCCAATATCTCTGGCTATAGAGGTTCATGAAGACCTGAGCCAGCCAGGTCATAAGCCACTCACTCCTATTTGATCAGTGAAAGACAGGTTCTCTAAACCTAGACTTCTTGACATTTAAACACTATCCTTTACAGCCTCTAACTTCAAACTGGGTGAGATGGGGAAGTACCACAGGGATCGACAAGCTAACAATTCAGTGCTGTTCTGTCCTTACTGGAAGATGGAGCTGGTGTGGGCAGTCATAGCCACACTTGTGCCTACAGTTGTCAGGTACTGTCATTTAAAGCCAGACTAATATATCAAAGGAATGAGCTATGGAGGCTAAGAGTACAATCTCTCTTTATATATATATATAAAAAATACCACGCTCTCTTTATATATGTATATAGTTAAAGAGAGTACAATCTCTCTTTTTATATATATATGTATGTGTGTGTGTGTATATATATGTACACTTTAAGTTCTAGGGTACATGTGCACAATGTGCAGGTTTGATACATAGGTATACATGTGCCATGCTGGTTTGCTGCACCCATTAGGCTAAGAGTACAATTTTAAACTCTGCTTCTCCAGGGCCTCCTGAGTTCCCTTTATTAATATTGAGGTGAAGGATCAAATAAACATAGTCAGTGGCTTGAACAAACCCTTGGAAACAACATAAAAAGTATAAATCCTTACATCTGAGTTTCTTAAATTACTTTTATAGCACTATCAGTTCTGAAGTAAATTATGTCGTCATCGTGTACTTTTTGTGCAGCACATCCATCTATCCAGGATAAAGACAACTCATAGTAGTAGACGTAGAATAAAAGAGTATTTTCTTTAGCATTTGCTTTCAGTACTTTGAAAATATTCTCTACAAAATTTGGACCTCACCAGTTCTCTTCACTGTCCACCCCCTTCTCTCCTTACCTATCACACTCCTCACCCCATAGGAAGGACCATCAGAATACCAACAACTGAGACACAGTGTGCCTACTAGAACCCATTTGTCATTCACTTGGGAGGTAGTTCTGTCTCTGACATTCATAGCAAAGCCATTTTCACAAGCAAAAATGACTGCCAGTATAGAAATATGGAGGTTCTCACCTAGATATTCTGAACCCGTTTAGGATATGTGGAAGCAGGTACTAACCAGCAGGAACAGAAAGTTCACAGCGAGGGGCGGGGCTGCTCCAAACCCCATTCCCTTGAGGGTCACTTGTGCAGCGGATGGTGCTCTCCCCAATGAGGTTGAAGGTCATCCCTCTGTCTGGGTGGGGGTCGCATGTGTAAGATATTTCTTTTCCATAGGGAATATCTCCAAGGGGAGCTCCTGTGTGTCTCCCATTAAGGATAGCTGGAGGATTTGGGCAAAAGATTTCTAGAAAGAAAACAAGAGCTTTAAGTTCTATTAGAGTTTCACTTAAGATGACTGAAATAATAGTGACTTGTGACTGTGCGTTTAGAAAGAATATAACTAAGGTGGATGGAATTTAAATCTGTAAGGCTTTTGTTGAGAGGCAACTAACTGAAGTGAGGCCTAAATTACAGTTTATTGCAAAAGCCCAAAGTGTTCCTGGGCCACCCGGGTACCTATGTTCGTTATGAATTTGAAAAGTAATTGTTTTAATTTTTTAAAAAGGACCCATTTGGTTGCCCACTTTAACTCAGGCATAGTAAGATTCCTGGGTTGACAATGAGGTTCAAGACAGACAAAGTTTTGGTTGTCAGAGACCATAAGTTCCAAGGAAATCTATGAACTTTAATAATCATGAACTATCATCTTTAGCAATGTAAATGTTTCTTGGTGATTCAAGACCCTTATCATCAGGACCAACACCAAATTTCCAGTGGCGTCATCAGACACCAGTAAGGCTCTTTTGACTCAGATTAAATGGTGCCAAAGAGCCCTTTTTTCTTTCTTCCAATTTATTAACCATCATTTCTTCCTCCTTTTAGTCTGCTTAGAACAGTTCCTTCCCTAAAAGCACTTGATGCTTCTAATTTGATATGAATTTAGGAAGAGATGCCCAAGTTTATCACAATTATGTGTATAAAAAAGACTTAGTACATCAAACAATGATTGACTTCTCATGCTTGAATTTTACCTGTTTGTGTTTTCCTAAGTTTATTTATATATTTATTTTCAGCTTTATGTGTCTCTGTAAGGTTGAGTTTGTTGAATACTTGAGTTTCCTCAGGTATTAACTGTTCTTCACCATAATACTCACCACAAGGTATCCGAATTGATTTCTATAAGTTATTTTAACACAATACAAATTAAAATAAACATTTTCCAATAATCAGGAAAAAAAGGTTTAAAAAATTCTTGCCTTGCTTTAGTAGACAGAATAGAATCAATCAGTAATACCTTGGTATGTCAAACATGTACTTTCATCTAAGAGTTTCTGAATTTTTTCTGAATTTCAGCATATTTTATTTAAGCGGATGGTTTGGAAACTTAGGGCACCTCATCATTTCAGACACTGATTCATCATCCCAGCTCCTTCCACCATACTAATTTATCATATAACTCTGTTTTATTTTCTCTATAACATGCCTATTTAACTACCATTTTATGTATTATAATTTTTAGAATTTTGTTTACTTATTTATTTCCTTGTTCACAGTTTGCTTCAAGAAAATACACCCCAGGAAAGTAGGGAGGTGTCTTCACTATTCACTCACTATTCATTGCTTTTTCTACACATGGGAAGTCCTGGCACATGGGAAGCCTTATGTCATTAAATGCTGCAGGTTAAATAAGAAGCTGACTAAATTGTTTATGATATGTGAGGGGATAAAAGAACATAAAAATTTGGCTGGGCATGGTTGCTCACACTTGTAATCCTAACACTTTTGGAGGCCAAGGTAGGAGCATATCTTGAGCCCAGGAGTTTGAGACCAGCTGGGGCAATATGGCGAGATTCTATCTCTGCAAAAAAATACAAAAATTAGCCAGGTGTGGTGGCATGCACCTGTAGTCCCAACTACTAGGAGGCTGAGGTGCGAGCCCAGGAGGTTGAGGCTGCAGTGAGCTGTGATTGCACCATTCCACTTTGTCCTGGGTGACTGTGTCTCAAAAAAGAAAAAAAAAAAAAACATAAACATTTAAGAAAGATTCCTCCTTGATAAGAAAACTAAAAATAAATGACTAACTAAAACGTTCTGCACCTTTATGTCATCTAGTTTCTTGCTCACATTCCCCACAAAGTTAAACACTGTCATTAAACTAAGTGATTTACAGATTAGTAACAAAAACACATATCAGAGAAGACCTACAAGACCCTTCTTGAAATTCTTCCAACAAAGAAGTATTTTTATCCGTAATTTAGTTAAGTAAAGATCCAGACAACAGGTGATTCCATGAGGAAAAACACACTGGAAAACAAAAATAAGGAGCGTTATCCAAACCACATAGTTCTTTCTACTCACGTTCACACACTGGAACACTGCTATTCCAAAGGGCTTTCATTCCAGCCAAGACACAATGACTAGCAGACCTGCCTTTTAATCGGAACCTAAAGAAAAAAAAAAGTGGTAGCAAATGTGTGAGCAATTCCCATCTCTCCCTTGATTTCTTCACTAACAGATGCTCAGCTTCCTCACTGCCATTTTCCTCCTTGACTATCATTTGGTTCTTAGGTTCAGGCCCAGCTAAAACTCTTAGTTCACTGGGGATCTGAATTCTTCAGTAGCTGGCAGAAACTCAAAGGCCAATTTACTCTAAAGAACCATGGTACCCTGTGACTGGCAAAGCAATTGGAGCTGATGTGCATAATTGCCATATAAACTTCATAGCCCAGCATCACCTACAGAAGGCATGAACACAGAACCAGACTTCTCCATGGGCACAAGAGCTATAACCTTCAGGTGTCATCTTTCACTGATGGCTCTCTGACATCACACTTATTCTCATTAGTGGGTCATGAGGCAGAACAACTCTCGATTTGGTAAGCAAAGCCAGGAACATCTAGAAAGAGAATGTGGGCACTGTTCTTCTTGCCACTACAATTGTAACGGGCCAGAGGAGGCTCACAGAAGCATGCTGAACCACGTGCTCTAAGAAATAAAGAAAGGTGGGGGTAAGAGTCTTTGCTGCCCCGAAATGCCCAACTGATTATTGAGTCCTGCTTCCCTTCTGAAATCTGAAATCATTCTGAAATTAGACATCATTATTGGATGGTGCACTTTGTAAATGCCAAAGATTCCTTGGAAATCATTAAAAATAACTGCTTAATTGCCCAATCTAGTTATCCCTCCAGACTCATAGTGCACACCACCAAGAGTAATGGATACACATAAACAACTAATAATACCACTTGAAACTGATAGAAGCAGGAGGCAGACAAATCCTAGGCAGATGGGGCGGATCCCAATGAAACCCGACCTTCAAGTTGAAGACAGTTTAAAGCCTAGCTACAAGTTCCAGGTGAATCCATGCACTGGCTTGAAAACCTCTCTTCCTGTTTGGTGTGCTTTCCTCTGATTGCTCCTCACTCTTCATCTGTTTTACATATACCTGCGCTTCCCTAATTGGTTTTTACACTGCTGTGCCCACCTTTGAGTGGTGTCTTTGTTTTAGTCTTTTTTGCATACTCACAAACCAATCAGCACAGGCTCCCCATTCTGAGTCCATAAAAGCCCCAGAACCAGCCACACTGAGAGACAGAGAGAGACCCCCTGACTTCATCTGGGGGACCACCTCGTGTCTCCTCTCCACTAAGATCATCACTCAGTAAAACTCTTCTCTACCCTCCTCACCCTTTCATTGATACCATAACCTTATATTTCTTGGATGTGGGACAAGAACTCAGGACCCACCAAATACAGGTACAAAGAAGCCTGTAACGCTGTGGCCCTCCGCCCTCTGCTGTGGGAGGGCAGCTGCACCACGTGACAGGAAGCAGCAGTGGGTCAAGCCAGCCCCAGAGATGCAGGCCTGAGCGGGGCTACAGGATTGACAGAGCTGTTAAACACACCGCCATTGGTTGGGCTGTGGGCATTATCAAATGCTACGAGCTGTTAGCGTGCTGTAATACCCCCTCTGGGCTTCAGGGTCGTGGGCACCCCTGTTTGGGCACCACCACATTTCCTTCAGTGCGACATGCCTGGTCCAGCTGCAAGCACTGCTCGGACCCCATTCCTGTGCAGGTGCTTGGAGTGGCCAGCTGGACCCCACACTCGCTCACTCACACACCCTCTCCCACCAGGGGCTGAGTGTGCAGTCATGGGGGCCCCAGGGTCTGAGTCAGAGCACCAGCCAGGCGCTGCCTGGTGGGCCGAGTAGATGTGGTGTTTCCTGCGGTGAGCCCGGGCCCACACAAGACCTGGGCAGGGGCATTGCTGGCCGGAAGTCATTGGCTGGCAAAGTGGCTGAGAAGAATCCTGCATTAAAAGAATTACACTGGCCATTCCTGACCTGAAGATACATTATTGGGTGAAAATACACTTACCCATGCACTGTTACAGATTCCGCTGTTGATTGGTTTTAGGTTTCCTAAGCGACCTTTGCCTTCCTTATCATGGGACAAACAATTTTTGTCTTATTCCTCATTTTTTTTTCTAGCATAGCTTTTATAAAATTATGTTCTTTTGCCTCCAAATAAATACATACCCATTCACTTCAAGTTCCAACTGTGTACTCAAGATCAGTGACTGTATTTAGGTTTGTACCTGACATTGAGCTGTATGTGCCATTTTCTCATTGTCTTCTGAAAGTGGTGCCACTTAGTCCCTATCCTTATTTCTAAACTACCCTTCCATAAATTCATCTCTCTGGGTACTTCTTATCTACTAGGTCGGCTCCTGGTTTGGATTAACCCCTGAACTCACAGGAGTGATTCTCCACACTGAGTCCTTGGTCTCAACCCTGGGTCATACTCACCCTTCATCGCAAACAAAGGACACCTTTGCTCCAAGCTGGAGATTGAGTGGAAACAGCACACGGCCATGAGGAAGTTGGCCCAGGAATTCATCACAGTATTTCACTAGAAGAAAAAAATAAAACAACAGGAGTAAGACCTCCATGTGAGAGGGAAACAGCAATCTGGAAGCCAGAGAGTCAAGGCACCTGTACATATGGGGGCTTCAGGGCTCCAGTCTCCCTGGGGCGTGCAGTGCAGAGACGCAGCCCCTCTGAGGTCATAGCCGGGCTCACAGCTGTAGAACACTTCCTGCCCAGGTGAAAAGTTGTCCTGATGGCTTGGAGTATGCTCACCATGCAGGATTTCTGGAGGCGGCTGACACACTGTGGAAAGGACAGTTCCAGAGCACTTGTTAATTATGGGGGAATTTCCTTTGCTACATCTTAAGCTTGCCTGAGAGCTTAAAAATCGTCATTGCAGAGGGCAGCTATTAAAAGAGAAGATCGGTAGTTCAGTAGCCGCACGTCACTAACAAGGAAACCAAGGATACCAAGCAGAACTGTGACTAGAATCAAAGTCTCTCCAACACCTTGTCTGTGTTTTTTTTCTACTGAAACATGTTCCGAAGACTACAAGGCAGCATATTCCTCTTGCTTTCAACTACTGGTTATGGAGCACAGAGTCGTGAGTGTTGGTGGCTTGGCCGCTCTTCCGTTTCCTACAGAGGCAATCCCTCAAGCTCACGCGTAAGGCAGCAGCAAGGAGTACTGTTGCCAAGGTCTCATCTAACAGACACCTTCACCTAGTCTTCATTTTCCTCACTCCCTGTCCCTCTTTCAGCCAGCACAAGGCTGAACTGTTAGCTTCCTTTCTGTCCCTGTGACCAATTCTAATTCTTCCCACTCTGTGTTAAGCCAGTCATTTCAGCTAAGAAAAGAAGAGGCATCAAGAACAAAGTCATGGGGGCAGGGGGTGAGGGTAGGGAGGGGAGGTGGGGACAGTTAATGGGTACAAAAAAAAAAAAGAAAGAATGAATATGACATAGTATTTGATAGCGTGACAGGGTGACTGTAGTTAGTAATAACTTAATCGTAGGTTTAAAAATGAAAGAGTGTAATTGGATTTTTTGTAACACAAAAGATAAATGCTTAAGGGCATGGATACCTCATTCTCCATGATTATTTTACATTGCATGCCTGTATCAAAACATTTCATGTACCCCATAAATATATATACCTACTATGTACCCACAAAAATTAAAGATTAATAAATTAAAAATAAACAAAAAGAACAATCCCCCCTCAAAGAAAAAAAAAAGCTACAGACATTTTAGTGATAGAATCTATTGCTTAGACCATATTTTAACCGAAATATTGGCTGCCTCCATGCACATACAATTGGTGTGTTCTCAGGGCATCAAAATGCAGGCATGGTAGCTCAGGCCTGAAATCCCAGTACTTTGGGAGGCTGAGGCAGGAGGATTGTTTGAAGACAGGGGCTCAAGATCAGCCTGGGCAACATAGCAAGACACTGTCTCTAAAAATAAATAAAAATTAGCCAGATGTGGTAGTGTGTACCTGGAGTTCCAGCTACCTGTGAGACTGAGGCAGGAGTCTTACTTGAGCCCAGGAGTTAGAGGCTTCAGTGAACTATGATTGTACAACTGTACTCCAGCCTGGGCAACAGAGTGAGACCCTGTCTCAAACAAACAAACAAACAAACAAACAAAACAATCAGCAAACCTCCAAGAATGAATTTGAGCCTCAATCTGAACCATATATAATTATATATCAAGTATATATGTGTGTATATATATATGTTTGTTTGGATTTGAGCGAAACACTTTTTCTGAGCCTCAGTCTTTTCAGTTATAATGTGAAAGAGTTGAAGTCCAAGGCCTTTTTGATTTGATGCTCTCATTTTGGTCCTCATGGCTCACTTGCCTACTGTCCCACTCCAGGGATAGAGATATGATCACCACTATTACTCATTATTGTTCATTAGACATTCCACTGTACATGATCATTAGGCTCTGGAGTCAGAGCTTTGGAAAAGTTCTTTAATATCACTAAGACTCAGTTCTCTCAAAGTGAAATGGGGATACCAATAGTAGCTACCTCATATATTTGCTGTAAATGGTAAATTTAAAAATGCATATAAAATATGTCTACTATAGGTGAGAGAATAAGCCGTTACTTTGAGATAAGTATTAACAGAGATAACAGACAGTGAAGCTACTATAATGCTTAAAGTGTTTATGCCAATTTCATACTCCTTACACACTTCTTCCTTAATTTCAGCAACTCCTATCATCTATATGTACCCTCACACCCAGCAAAGTATTGATGGCTCACACTCACCCCTGGAGCAGTGTGGCAGCTTGGGCCCCCATCTGTCGTTGGTCTGGCACTGCACAGTGTGGGACCCTACCATGACAAAGCCGGGCTGACATCTAAATCTGACGATCTCATTGAGGGAAAAGAAACTCCTATTTCCTGGTACTCTAATTCCGTTTTCAACTTCTGGAGCTGTGCATTTATTAGTAGAAATACATTGAGGGGGAGGGCTGCTCCAAACACCAACTTGATCATCTTTGCTGGTGCAATATATTGACCGTTCTCCCACGAGCTCAAACAGCTGTTCTCCATCTGGTCCAGTGTGGCACTGGTAAGTTACCACTGTTCCACTGTGAAAAGATGTTCTGTTGTTGCTGTAGAAGTCTCCATTGGATATGGTTGGAGGTGGCTTACAAGATATGACTGAGAGAAGGAAGAATGTGGTAAAACAGCTTATTTTTTAATAATGAATTATTTTACTATGAATTTAAATACCAAATGCAAATAATCCAATAATTTTCTAAATGGAATTACAATACTGTCATTTTCTTAAAATATTTGCTAATAATCAGACATTTTTACCTAGTTGAAATTTAGGTATGTATGATACTGGTTCTGCTCATAGTTAAGTATTTCACCAAAAAAACATGTATTTTTTGGTTTACATATTTATAATTTTAAGTGGATAATACATGTGATTTTATCACAGATTGTTAAGGTACTTATCTACTGCTGGACATTTTCTCCTATAGGTTATTAAAGTAACCTCTTTGCAGGTTAAATATACCACTTCTGGCATTATTTATCAAGAAAAAGAGAGCAAAGGAAATACAAAAGATAAGGCATGAAAAATGAAATAATGGCAGATGTAGGGGCAATAAAATGATAAATGAACACTGTGTTCTGTCATAAGATAATAGTATTCACATATTGGCTAAGTGACTACACACACACACACACACATAACTAGTGTTGACTCAATTAAATGATTACTGACCTATAAGTGTAGAAGTGTAAAATTTTTTTTTAGAAGAATGATTAAATACTTTATTGAATATACAAACTTTGGAATATAATGCTCCCATTAAAAACCATTTTTCAAAGAATATTTAATGTCATGGAAAGATTTTTTTTTTGCATTCCTTTCTTTTTTTATGTTTTCAAGGTTTTATTATTATTACTATTATTATTACACTTTAAGTTCTAGGGTACATGTGCACAATGTGCAGTTTCATTACAAAAGGTGCCATGCCTAGAAAACTTCGTATAGTAAACTGATAGTTCTTTGATAATTTGAATTATTTCATAGAATTGCAAGTTCTTGGCAGGTATGGGAGGCACCTTGTATATATTCTCATTCATTTAGTCTTTAAAAGTCAATGTTAATTTAGCGGGGAGGAATATTAGTGAATACAATGAACACATTCATTGGAGGAAATTTTAAAAATATGGACAAAAAGAAAGAAGAAAATGAAAATGGTTCAAAGATAACTATTTGTAACAATTTAATTATATCCTCTTAGATACTTATGTGGATACATGCATATGTATGGATGGATGTGTTTTCTATACTACCATATTTGGTGGCTTAATAATAATCAGTCATGTAGCTTCACAGATATGCTCTTCCCACTTGGATGAGGCATCTCAACCTTTAATTCCTCATGGTGCACTTTTTTACATTTCTTAAAAACTTATAGCCATTAAAATACACCTTATTTTTTCTACTAGCTATTTTCAAACCATGCTGAACATTTAGGTTGTTTAACATTTTCCACAATCCCAAATATTATTGCACTGAGTATCTCTGGACCAAAATTATGGGACTATTTCATGATTATTTTCTTGGGCTAAATTCTGGGAAACGGAATTGTGTGTCAGAGGGTGTTTACTTTCAGGCTTTTGTTTATATTGGCCATTAGCTTTCTGGAAATCTGTGCCTACTTTTGCTGCCATCAATTCTGTGTGTGATGCTGATTTCTTCACAGCTATAACACTTTGCCAATTTGCAATCATTCTTTCATGTTTTTAAAGTTTTGGAGATTCATTTAAAAATATCTTATGGGAAAAATGGAGGGTCAGCTAATCAAGAACAAATACGACTAAAGACATGAGCCTAAAAGAATTGAAGGAGGATTAGAACTCAAAATGACGAGAGGATTAGGGAAATTGCTAAGAACTGTAAGAAGAGTTCTTTTTATTATTTGGATTAGAATAACAAGAAAATGAGTAGCCTACTTTGTGGAATTGTTACCTGATAGATAGTAAGAGTTGGCAAAGACAGATCTAATTTTGTCTAACGCCTTTAAAATGTACTCATTAAGGACAATACTCTCTATACTGGAAAGGTTTACTATTGTAATAGGAAAGTAGAGCTATTTTGCCTGGGTTCAAGCCCACAGTTTCAGATAAATCACCTTTTAAGATAAAGAAAAGCCAGGAAGACCATGAAGCATCTGACTCCTATTTTCAACTATCTGAGAGACTACTTCGTGCAAGAAGGATTTGATTTATTCTTCATACTCCAGGGGCAAGTCAGGATCACATAGAGGAATTTGTGGAGAAAAGTATTTCAACTTACTCTCACAAATAGGTGCCTCCTTATCCCATGTGACATTATTGCCTGAGACGAGACAAGTAGTAGATGGGGAACCAATGAGTCGAAACCTAAAGCAAAGGATAAAAAATGATTGTACTCTACACATATTTCCCATTTAACTCACCATTTAGAAAATAATAGCAGGTAGACACTAGATATTACAGGACAGATTACACCATGGCAGACCTCGGAAGGAAGAAACCCCATCTCCATCTGCAAATTAGTCCTTTCTTTTTAAGGACAAGCTTACATTTTGACCTCTCCAATTCATTTTTATTCCTAATCACTCACAACTGAATGAGATATTTCCCTTTTTCTTCATGGGACATTTTTGTATTTAAGTCTTTCAGAAACCTTGCAGTTATTTTATCCATGTGTACTTCCAGCAAAGAAATGACAAGCTCCTGGATTAAGTAGGGAAAATGTCTTACTGAAATACATAACACTATAGCACCTAGCTTAGCGACTTTCAAGCTTTGGGTGCTCAGATAGTCTCTTGCATAAAGGAAAGAACAATGGATTTACTCAGAAGAGTCAGTAAATGAGAGCCAGAGGAGACAGCTAAACACTCCTACACTTGAAAAGTAAAAGGCAGGGATACTCACCCACTTTGCCATAAAACTGTCTAGAGCAGGCCACAAAATGTAGAACATTTTGTCTTTTAAAAAATTTATTAAGTATCCATAATATTAACTGTGAACAATGTCACAAAGAATCCTGAGCAAAGCTATTCATGTGTTCTGGTGTAGAGCAGGGCTAAACTTGACCCAGTAAAAATTAAAGGGTAAAATGGAATGCCATATAACGATGAGGCAGTAACCGCAAGAGTTAAGAACTTTTCCTCTTGATTATGCAAGAAATATTATCAGGGCAGTAACCATTTGTAGCAAAGACTATGGTGCCATCCCCAGTATCCACTTTCCTCTCCTTCATTAGTAATGGAACCCTCTACTTTTAACTGGGCCATTGGCCACCTGCAATAAAGGTTTCACTTCTCATCTTTCCTTACAGCCAGGCACAGCCATGTTACTAACTTCTGGCCAGAGGATGTAAGCGGAGTGTCTTGTGCAACTTCTGGAAAGTGTCTTTAAAGGAATTGGCCTTCCCTTCTTCCCTGTGTCCTCTATACTGGCTGGAATTTGGACCACGAGATAAGATGGCGTCTCATTTTGAGGAGGTCAGAGTAGCAAAATGGAAGGAACCCAGGTTTCTGTGGATTATGGAGCCATTGTATACACGCTGGACTGCCTACTTTCGTGATTTTTAACCTGAGAGAGAAGTAAACTACTATCTATGTTTGAGATCCTGTTATTTTATTTCTTCTGTCTTTTACAGCTGGAATTCCTAGCTGATATACCAGCTCTTCCCAAAACAGTGACAGAAAGCTAAAGGGAACCATGTGACTATGGCAATAGTAGTCAATGTTTTTGTAGACACAGTGAGTCTCTTTTACGTTTTAGGTAGTGATTGAATTTTACTTATTGCTAGCCTGTTTAATATAGGCTGTGGTGTAAAAACTTTTCAAGTGTGCCAAGAAAAAAAATCTTAAAAATTGCTGCAAATAAACAAGTTGAGAACCACTGGAGTATGGAAAGAATAGGATAATCCTGTTATTACCTGTGTTTTCCTCTGCCTGTCTCCTATCATACATTTAAAAGTTGTCTAAGAGCACAGGATGATGGGTGTCCTCTGACTTTTGGCCTCCTAGAGGTTGTTTTGGGTGTGCTTGCTAAGCTAGAGCTTAATGTGACTAAGCTAGAACATTGGAGCCAAAATGTGAAGCAGATTCCAGCCTACGTATGGCTGCAAAAACACAGTGATTTTTTTTTTAATTTGATGTTATTTTTATGAACAAATAATAATTGCATATATTTATAGGGTAAAATGTAGTGTTTTGATATATGTTTCTGTTGCAAATGATTAAATTAAGCTAATTAACATGTCCATCACCTCACACATACTTGTTTGTGTCTCTGTGTGTGTGTATGTGTGTGTGTGGTGAGAATATTTAAAATCTACTCTTTTAGTAATATTTTTTTCTTTTCTTTCTTTTATTTTTGATAGGGTCTGGCTCTGTCACCCAGGCTGGAGTCCAGTGATGTGATCTTGGCTCACCGCAACCCTTGCTTCCCGGGTGCAAACCATTCTCCCACCTTAGCCTCCCAGTAGCTGGGACTACAGGTATGCGTTGCCACACCCGGCTAATTTTTGTATTTTTTGGTAGAGACAGGGTTTTGCCATTTTGCCCAGGCTAATTTCTAACTTCTAGGCTTAAGCAATTCGGATGCCTCTGCCTCCCAAAGTGCTACAGGCATGAGACACTGTGCCCAGCCGGCAATTTTGAAATACACATTATTATTAACTATAGTCATCACACTGTGGAATAGATCTCTGAAACTTGCTCCTTCTGTCTAACTGAAACTCTGTGCCCTTTGACCAAATCTCAGCTCCCCAGCTCTTCGTGCCTGGTAACCACCTTTCTACTCTCTACTTCTATGAGTTCAACTGTTTTAGATTTTACATGTAAGTAAGATCATGTGATATCAGTTCTTCTGTGCCTAGCTTATTTTGGAAGGTATTTTATGGCACAAAAACAGAAGGGATGTTAAAATGCATTTAAAATGCAAAATAATTGAAATGATGCAGGAATAGAGACACAGATCCCTAGAGCAAAGTGGGGGAAAACCCAAGAAATAGATACAAGTTTTTGTAAGAAATTTGCAGTGATAAAGATGGAATTTCAAGACACGGAAAACTGAATTATTCATTCATAGGACAAATATCTGAAAAGCTAAGCTAGATCTCTGCCTCATGACATGTGTATCAAAGATTAAATGTCAAAAATAAAACAATAAAAGAACTGGGTGATTTAGGCAAATGCTACTATGAACAACATTGATAAAATTGAATAATTACAAATAAACCTTTCTACATACAAATCCGAAGACAAACCACAGAGGAAAAATAATAAAAACAACTCTTATACATCAATTATAAAAAGGTGAACAACCAAGTAGAAAAATGGTAAAGAATTATGAACAAATAATTTACAAAGGAAAAATGGAAATAGTCAAATGAACATATGAAAAGTTTAGCTTCACTTATAACATGATAAATACACTTTAAAATGCAAATAAAATGCCATTTTTGCCTATTAGATTGGCAAATTGACAAAACCTAGTAGTAATATAAACTCAAAGAAAGAGTCACTGTTGTGACTCACTCCACAGGTCATGATCAAAGTTTAGTGGAGGGCACTTTGGCAATATGTACTGAAAGGCTTAAAACCGTGCATAGCCTTTTACCCAAATCTGCAAATCTTGTCTCTTGTGTCGATGTGAAGATCTGAATCCTTAAGCTGTCTTTGAAGTCAGTGAAGTCCTCCTCTCATTTCTTTTCATGTGTACAGGATCGTGCATTGTAATGTTTTTGCTAACAGCTGAAATGTGAAACCACTTTAATTCCAGATATCAAGGACTTTGTTAGGTAGGTTATGGACTATCCAAGTAATAACCAATATACAACCACTAAAAATGGTGTTGTAGAGTAATATATAATAATTAGAATAATTATACAATATCGTTCATAAGTATTAAAGATGGCTATAAAACCATGTACAATGTGAGTCGTTTGGTTTAAAATATATCTATATATAAAGATTTAAAGCTGTTAAATTTTTATTCATCCTTTCAGGAAAAAAACTGCATTTGTTTGAGAAACTACTTGAAGAAAAAGTGGGGACTATATGCAGACAGAACAATTCTGTTAAATACAGAGGTAAGGTATTTATTATTCCAGACAGGGAGTCCTAGGGAAAGAGCCTAGGCTTCAATAGAAGGATTTTACAGATATGGGACATCAGGTGAGGAAAAATTACAACATAATGACACTACAACGTATGTGTGCCTTAAAATACCTTCCAAAATAAGCTAGGCACAGAACTAATACCACATGATCTTTCTTACATGTGAAATCTAAAACAGTTGAATTCATAGAAGTAGAGAGTAGAAAGGTGGTTACCAGGCACTGAGAGGTGGGTATCGAACCCACCAATACCTTCCAAAATAAGCTAGGCACAGAACTAATACCACATGATCTTTCTTACATGTGAAATCTAAAACAGTTGAATTCATAGAAGTAGAGAGTAGAAAGGTGGTTACCAGGCACTGACAGGTGGGTATCGAACACCACCTCTGGTCTGGTGTCAAACACCCTTCTTGTTATTATCTCAGAATATTCTTTTGGTGGGTCTCATGACATTTACAGACATCTTGTCAAATTAAAAAAAGAATGTCATTGGAACTGATAGGAATTACATTAAATTTGCATACTAATTCAGGGATAATTAACATCACCACAACATTAAATCTTTTTAAAAAAATGTTATATCCTGCATTTCTTCAAGTATTTTTTTATGTCCCCCTCTTTTAAATCTTCTGCTTATAAGTCCTATATATTTCTTGTTAAATTTCTTTCTGGATGATTTTGTTTCTGTTGTGAATGATATTTTTACTCCTTATATTCTATATTGTTACCTATATAAAGGAAGTAATTAATTTATAAGTATTTATTTTTTGCTAGATATCTCACTACTATTTCTAATTAGTTCTAATAACCTTTCAAACAATTCCTTCGGGTTTTCAGGTAAACAACCATCAGTTAATAATAAATTTACCTTCTCTCTCTCTCTAGCTATATCCATATGTATATCTCTCTAAATATAGGGGGCTGTCATTTTACTGGTTTGAATTTCCACAACTACTTTGAATAACAGGAAGGGTGCCGAGTGCTCTTTTCCTTTGACCTTTAATTACATTCAAGCATGCTTTTAGATTTTAACCATTCATTATGTTTTTTGGCATTAGAGAGTATATTTATATGACATTTAAGAAAAGTTATACTCTTTAATATTGTAAGTTTGTGGATTTCCTAATTTGGAACCATTTCTGGAATAACTCTACTTGTTCAGCTTGCATAATTCTTTTAATATTGTTTTTATTTAATATTCAAATTAAGATGTTTAGCATTTATATTAGCAAATGAGCCAGAGATATATTTTATTTTAATT